GACTACTTGTTATAAAACTGAAGACAAAATTATAAAAAATATATGTATAAAAACATTTAATACTAAAAATAGAAGAGATTATTACATAAAGAGAATAAGCAAAAATATTTACGAACTGTACGTATACGTAAATACATGGATATAAAATTAAGTAAGCACAAAAATTTAATCTAATTACTTATACTTTTTAAATTTTCTAAAAATTATAAACTAACTAAATCATATAAACATACAACTAACATATATAAATCACAAATGTACATTCTAAAGTTCACCAAATTTAAAGATCGTAATAAATATGTAACATAACTTTTGATAAATATATCGATGTGACATTTTAATTTTTTTAATTCGTGTATTTTATCTATTTTTTGGAGATAAAAATTGAATCTGTTCGAAAAAATCTCTTTTGTTCTGTTTTTTTCATAAATTTTTTTTTTAATATCAATTATAATTTTTTATGAAAAATCAATATGCGAGTACGCAAATTTGTGTAAAAAAAACTAGTCCTTTTTCATGAAAAATTAAATTAAAATTTTATACATAAAAATAAATTTATTTATAAAAAATTGAAAAAAAAAATAATTTTAAAAAGTTACGCGATAAAAACAGATATATATATATATATATCTAAATATGTTATTAGCATATTTTGCGCAAAATAAACTTTGTAAATTCAAGTTTTCTGCAAAATTTTAGCTTTACATTTAATTTTAGCTTTTTATGAAATGTCTGTCAAAACAGCATTTAGAAAAAGCATGGTAAATTAGCATGTTTATTTCTTACTAATTGTTTTTGTTATTTATTAAATATTTATTAAAATATATTAAAATATACTGTAAAAAAAATACAGCAACATTCGCGCATAAAATCAATATTAACCCCATGATGATCAATATTAACCCCATGATACAAAAAAAAACGTAAGTAATAAAACTTAAGCAATAAGAATTAACTAATTAAATAAAAAATTATAAAAATAAAATTAATTTTCAATCGTAACTGATGGATTTATTTACTGTTAAAAGTTTATTGCTTACATTTTTGTGTGCCCTGGGTTTAAAGCACCTGGTAACATTTAAGAATATATGGACTTTCTACAAAGTAGATGACAATAGCGATACGGGGGACAATGGGGGTGGTTTTCCATTTAATGACCCAAGTATCGTTCTATCTTTCTTAGCTTTCAATGATTAACAAGGACAAAATGATAAATGAAAAGCACCCAGTGATTTCAGCTAAGGCATGTCACACACAAAAGAAAACTTAAGCGGTAAGGGAATTAGCCAATCACAGTTTAGGATGTTAGACTAACATAAGAAGTAGCAAATTCATAATGTTGATTTTTTTATTACTTAAATTTTTTTGTGTGCCACGGTCCTAATTCGGTGAGCACTCGGAAATATTCAATAAAAGAAAAAGAGGGAAGATGAATTGTACTAAAAAAAGATCTTTTGATTTAATTTTTAATTATTTACAAAGAGTTTTAAAGATAATTTATTTTAAAATTTTTTGTAATGTTACTTGAATATTTTTTGTAATGTTACTTGAATATATTTCATATATTTTAAATAATAAATATAAGTAAATATTGAAAACGCAATTTTTTTTGTTGTTCCTTAAAATTAAATAACTTTTAGAATGTACAAAAGCTTTTAAATAATATTGAATTATGAAACGTTTATGAAAAACAAAAATGATTAAAAATCATTAATTTAAATGTACACAGAACTTCAAAAGAATATGTATTATTTGTATAAGTTTAGTTTTATATTTCAAAATTTATATTATTTATATTATCTATATAAATAAAAAAATATATATTAATATATATCGATATAATAAAAAGAATAAAATATTATACATGTACATATTCTTGCATTATGTGTAAATATACATTATTTTAAATATAAACATGTAAATTTGATCTGTTTTTATATAAACTTACTATACTATATTTGAAATTAACCTTATGTTTGTAACATTTTATTTAGAAGTAAAACGAAATTTTTTTTATATTATACAAATAGCAGGTCATTATATTTCTTTTGACGATTTTAAATAAAAATAAAAAAAATTAAAAATTTTTTTAATTTCAATTTATTTTAAGGCAGGAATCTTAATAGACTAAGCCTTAAAATACACTTACAAAAAAAATTATAGTAAGCGTAACGCTACTCTTGAGCGGATACATATTCGATGTATCTGAATACGAGTGAGTTTTAAAGAAAAAATTCAGAGAGAATATGTGATATTCACATTGTACATTTACTGGCTTTCTAGTAAGAAGATAATATCTCCTCCTAGGAGATGATTTCGAGATATTGTTGTCTATTTTGTATAAATATTTGTTTATAGAGAAATTGTGCGCGAAGATCAAGAGCGGTGCTTACCGCTGGACGGGGACTGCACGAGTGAGACACATACACAATACATAAACACATTTCACGGCATTCCATTGGAAAGTACTTGTTCAAGCAAACACGTGTACATAGAACGTGCTCCTATCAACCGTGTACTAAAGCACGCAGTTGAAACGGGATATGTTCCAATTTTGATAATACAATATTAAGAGGGGAGTTGATATGCGCCACGAGATCAAAATCACTCGCACAAAAGCAAAAACACGCACAAAAAATAGAATCGGGTATCGAAAAACATAAAACAAAGTCGTACCTGGTCGCCATGTTGCGTTGAATCCTTGTCCTCGAACGAACGAAAAATTTGTAAAAAAAAAAAACAATCTTCCAATCCTGGGCTGCGTTCCCCGATTACCCACCACGTTCGATACGCCGATCAGAGACACGATCGCAGAACGTTGTTCGTGATCGCCGTCGCGATCTCTCAATTATAGCGATCCTCTGGGGAAACGTGCGTCCCGTCGACAACAAATGTTCGTCCCAACTGACGTCGCACGCCCGTGCCTGTGACTCGTAACACTAAATCGTCGTACCGCAAGCCTCGTTGAATGTTCAAATTTTCAAATCTTCGGCGTGATGGACTGCGTTTCGCGCGTTTATTCGCTCGACCACGAGGCGGCAGTGTGTGATGAGTTCAAAGCGTGGAATGTGAATATAGCTGCATGAGGTAGAAATGAAATGTCGCCGCGGTTCAGGCAGTATAGAGAGCTCGGTGGGAGAATCTCACGCATGCGCAGTAGCGCAAACGAGAGCGTCCTGTTAGTGTCGGTCCACAATAAGTATTTAATCTTTAAACCATAAGAAATTGACCAATCATAGTCGATTATTCTTTTCATATTCAATTATAATTGATCAATTTCTTACTTTTTAAAGCTTAAATTATCTATTGTGGACCGACACTTAAGCACAATTACAATTGGTACGGCCATTCACATCGGTTGGACCGAAATTTTCTAGTGAACTTATTACAAAATCTAATCCAATCGGATTTGACGTAATTGTGCTAGTGAACTTTGGGGGGTCAATTATGTAACTTTACATGAAATTTTTCACTTTTCATTTTTCACTTTTTACTTTTCATTTTTTACACTTGACATTTCACGTGAAACTTTTCACGTATAGCGATTATGTATGTAGCTTGAATGCGTGGAAAGTGAAATCATCAAACATAGTTTCATAGGTTTTATAGCTAATGAAAATTATTTTATTGGTACAGTTTATATACATCTTTTAATAATCAATTGTATATGTACGTACACTTAATCCTAATGCAGCCCTAATCTTCTCTAATTCCAAAGCATATTTATTAATTCCCTAGATTTCTGCCTTTCCGCCACCAAGGTATCTGGCGAAAAAGTTCACGTGAAAAATTTCACTTTTCACGTTTCTACCCTAGGGGAAAAGTTACATGACCCTTGTGTACATACGTAAGTATAGGGAGCGTCCCGTTTAACCACGTCCCGATTGACCATAACCATTCATAGGCACCGGTGCCTAGAATTTTTCCACTGTTCAAGCGCTGTGAGTGGCTAGTGGTCGGGATGTGGTCAAACGGATGCCACCCGTATGTATAGAATTCATTGGAATGTGATCATCGTCAACAGTGTTTATACTTTTAGAACTTTCCAGCAAAAAACACAAATCGACACAGGAGTCATTCTGTTTTTGTCTCTTACTGAATATCGAAAAAAGATAGAATGATTTTTTTCAAGAAGCTCTCTTTAGATAAATATTAATTTAATGCAGTTTAATGTTCTCTCCTCTGATTTTCTTTTAATTTTGTAAATTTATATATTTTCAAGCATAGAAGGCATAGCAAAAGGAAAAGTGTTCAAGTCCCAAAGAACCGTTAGATTTAACCTTTAATCCACGTAAAAAAAATATATATATAAATATAAATTTAGAATCACAAACTATTCTCTGCTATTTAAATTATTAATTTAAATTATACAAAAAAATAATTTGTGTTTTTAATTAATTAAAGCAGAGAATGAGCATGCGCAGTCATAAATTATTATTATATTATTATTTTTTAACCTACCGACGTCAGAAAACTTTGAACTTTAAAAAAAAGGATCAAACGACGATAGATGAGTTTTTTAATTCATCGAATAAATCGTATTATGCGCAAATGCAACTTTGCTCTATAAAAGCATTTGCAATTACTCTATAAAAGCTTATGCAATTAATCAATCGATGAATTAAAAAACTCGTCTAACATTCTCTTTCAGAATATATTCTACGCATGCAAATATGCAAATTAACAAAATTACAGGAAAATCGAAAGAGAAAATATTATATTACAT